CTGGCGATCCCCTGCGTCGTCACGGTGCCGTTCCTGCTGCTGCCGACGCTCGCGTTCCTCGTCTTCGCCGTCTCCGGCGCGACGCGGCCGCCGACGAAGAAGCTCGGCCAGGTCGCGCCGCTGGACGCTTCGGGCAGCTTCTCCCGGTCGCGGCGGAGAGCGAAGAGCGCCGCGGAGTTCGTGAAAGCGGAGGCCTTGGTCTTCGCGGACCCCGTCAACGTGGCCCTCGGCGGCGGCTTCACGGCGCTCGGCGTCGCGCTGGGGACGAGCGTGTCCGCGGCGGCCTACGTCGCGCCGCCCTACGGCTCCGTCGTCGCGCTCGCGGCCTGCGGCGCCGCGACCGCCGCGGTCTACGGCGAGTCGCGGTCCAACGCGGCTGCGGAGGACCGCGCGGCCCTCGCGGACGCGCACGACAAGTGTTCGATCTAGTCGGTACTACGTCGGTCTTGCTTTTTGGGGGGGGGGCGCGTCGTGGATGCCCTACGCCGCCATCGCGTCCTTCTTGTCCTTCTTGGCGGGCCCGTGGACGCACGCGAGGATGCGGCTCACGAAGCGCGGGAACTGGTCCTTGTCGAAGGTGAGGGGCTGCCGCATGCGCTCGGGCAGGCAGTCGGCGCCCTCCGTGGCCTCGAAGTAGACGAGGTCGTCGTCGGGGTCGATGGTCAGGTAGAACTTGAGCTCGCGGTCGAAGAAGTGCGAGCTCGCGACGCAGTCGAACTCGCGGCCGTCGTCCTCGATGTCGGCCTCCTCGACGCGGAAGCCCGTGAGCAGCGCGAAGACGCCGCTCCGCTCCTCGGCGGCGCGGCGCAGCGCGGACTCCTCCTTGAGCTTCTCGGAGGCCCTCTTCGCGCGCTTCCGGTCGGCCCGCGCCGCGTCCTCCGCCGCCTCGTGCTCCTTGCCGAGCTTCTCGTAGAGGCCCTTCCACTTCTTGGCCTCCTTCGACGCGCCGTCCGTGGCCCGCGGCGACGCGGAGCTCGCGTCGCCGTCGCTCGAGTCGCCGTCGTCGCGCGGCCGCTTCGACCGCGGCTTGTGGGACGCGGGCTTGCGCGCCGCGGGCTTGCGCGAGTAGGCCGACGACGCGCGCGACTCGTCGTCGCTCGACTCGAACGTGGGCGCCGCCGTCTTCTTCGCGCTCTTCTTCTTCGAGCGCTTGCGGGGCTCCATGCGGATCTCGGACATCTTCAGCGGGCCCGGGTCCTTGTAGTCGACGGCCGCGCGCTTCCGCGTGCTCGTGCGCGGCGTCGGCGCGCCGATGCCTCCATCGCTGCGCGGCGACGCGTCGCTCCGCGGCGACGCGAGCTCGGCCTCCGAAGAGTCGGCCATGCTCTTTTTGAGTTTGACTCGGCTGGCAGTTGCTGTCGATGTTGAGCTCTTGTTGATCTCGTGTTGAACCAAGACGGGGAGGCCTACGGGGGGTTACGGCTCGCACTTCTCGACGCCCAGCGACGAGGCGAAGCGGTTCCGCGAGGGCCGCCGCGGGAAGGGCGACGGGTTCCGGCTCCGCGAGTTGGCCCGCGGCCGCCCGCCCGGCGCGGTGGAGGCGAGGAAGATGCCGAGCACGGCGAGGACGACGACGAGCGCGAGGAGCGCGCCGGAGCGCGGCACGGCGCCGTCGAGGACGTCGTCCGCCGCCGTCGGCAGCGTCGTCGCGTCGGGCCGCGCCTTGGTCGCGCGCGGCGGCGGCCGCCGCGGCGGCGGAGTCCGCGACGCCGGCGCGCCGAGCACGGCCCCCAACGTCCAATCGAGCTCGACGCCGTGGACATCGACGGCGACGGCGACGGCGTTCGCCGCCGGGTCCACGCCGTAGACGTCGCCCAACAGCAGGGACGCGTAGGCGAGCTCGAAGCACCGCCTCGGCAGCTCCCGCCGCCGCCGGTCCGCGTCGCCCTGGAACGCGTCCCAGGGCCCGTCGAGGCCCGCGACGACCTGGATCAGCGACCCCGGCGCGGCGCAGAGCGCCGCCGACGCCGCCGCCGCCGCGTCCAAGGACGGCGCGGGCCACTGCTTGCGGAACGGCTCGAAGGCCGCGCGCGGCGCGGCGCCGGCGACCCACGCCGTCGCGCCGTCGTCGGCGCCGGCGCGCTCCGCGACGTCCGCGGCGCGGGGCAGCGCCGTCTGCAGCGTGCGCCAGGCGTAGTAGTAGAGCGACGTCGCCACGTAGCGCGCGCCCGGCTCGAGCGCCAAAGGCGGCAGCTCGGCGCCGCCGGCCTTGGCGTCCGCGGGCAGGCCGCAGGTCTGCAGCGCGTACTTGCGCGCCGACTCGCGGTCCGGCGCCTCGCGCCGCTTCCGCCGCTCGCGGTGGCAGTCGCCGAAGCCCAGCGCCGTCGCGATCGAGTCCGCGCACGCGCGGAAGTCGCCCGTTCCCTCGGCCGTCGCGCCGCGCGCGGGCAGGGGCCGCCGGTGGCCCCGCGGCGCGCAGGGGTCGGCCACGGCCTCGGGGCCGAGGCGCGCGTCGAGGGACTCGAGGAAGGCGTCGTACTTGGCCGCGACGGCCTCGATGCCGTAGCCGAGGTACGTCCGCGTCTCGAAGTCGACGGCCTCGAGCGGCGCCGTCGCCGCGCGGCGGTTGCTCCGTATGGGCGCCGCTATTTGGGTGGAGGCGCCGCCCAGGTCCAACGCGCCAAAAACCAAATCGAAGGACTGGCGCTCCTGGAATTTCCGCGCCGCGTCGACGGTGCCCATCGCGTAGTTCGCGGCGAGCCCCGCGAAGAAGGCCTCGTCCTCGCCGGAGATCGTGCGCAGGTCGCGCCGGTCCACGGTGAAGGCGCCGCCGCTCAGGACGGCGAAGCAGTCGTCGTAGAGGCGCCGCGCCGCGGCCGCGTCCGCGAGGCGCATGCCCGCAGTGGCGTAGAGTCGCAGCGGCGTCCGCGTCCACTCGGCCTCGGGCACGCGGTCCGCGGCGAAGTCGACGAGCGGCCGCAGGTAGGCCGCCAGCGCCTCCCGCGACGACCCGACGAGCTGCGCGAGGCCCGGCCCGTGCTTCGCGCCGCGGGACCCGGCCATGTCGACGTCGCTGAGCTTCTCGTAGACGTAGACCCGCGAGCCCGTGGACCCGGCGTCGACGATGACGGAGAAGCGCGACTCCATGAGGGTGCGCGCCTGCGTCGCGCAGACCAGGGCTGCCATGGCTGCGCCCGCGCGCCAGGCGCGCAGCGGCCGCGCCATGTCCACGTCCTTGCGAAAGTTTTTGCGATCGACGCGATGGCTGCCCGGGTGCGACCCGACTGAGCGCTGCTCGGCAGCCTCGCGCCGCGCTGCAACGACACCATGCCCTACGCGCACGCGACGGGCGCGACGATCCACTACCTCACGGCCCCGGCGCGGCCGACGTGCCCGCCGGGGACGCCTTGCGTGGTGTTCATCCACGGCGGCGGCGGCAGCGCGTACGTGTGGCTGCACCAGCTGCCTTTCTTCGCGGCGTCGGGCTTCTACGCCGTGGCTCTGTCGGTGCGCGGCTGGGGCCAGAGCCGGCTCGAGGTCGAGGACGCGGAGCTCTTCTCGAGCGGCTACCTGGCCGAGGACGTGTGCTGCGTGCTCGACGCCGTCGGCGCGCGGCGCGCGGCGCTCGTCGGCCACAGTATCGGCGGCTTCTGGTGCGCGCGCATGCTCGCGGAGTGGCCCGACCGCGTCACGCACTGCGTCTTCAGCAACACGTTCTACGGCCTGGTCGACGACTCGGACGTCTCGAAATTCGGCGAGCGGTGGATCTCCCGGTACGTCGACCGCGGCGCGGGCCCCGCGGACGCCGTGAAGGGGCCGGGCCGCGACGACATCGCCGACGCCGTCAAGGACGCGCTGAAACCGCCGGACTCGCTCCGCGTCTCGCGGACGCAGGCGCAGGGCCGGAGCCGCTACCCGACGCCGCCGGACAACTTCTCCGAGCGGTTCCGCGCCGAGCGGCCGGAGATGTGCTGGCTCTTCGACGCGACGAACGACGGCAACGCGCAGGTCGCCGCCCTCGGGCTCAAGCGCCGATTCCGCGCGCTCCACGCCGAGGGCGCGATCGGGCCGGCGAAGCTCCGGGCCAAGCGCGACCGCGGCGCCCGTCTTTCTTTTCCCGCTACGTCGCGACGTTCGCGGTAGGTTCGCCGGCCCCTTGCTCTTCACGGCGACGGAGTGCGACTCGTCCGTGCACTGGGAATTGGTCGCCCTCGTCGCGCGGCAATGCGCCGGCGACACGACGTTCCACGTGTGGCGGGGCGACCTGCGCCACGCGCCCTACATCGAGGACGCGAAGCAGTTCAACTACGGCGTGCTGGCCTTTCTGCAGGACCGGCCCATCGCCTACTGCCCCTCGAGGGACGACGGCGCGCCGGATCTGCTGAAGGTGGTGCGGGACAACATCGAGGTCCAGGCGCGGACGCTCGGCCGCATCCAGGCGAACCTGGAGGATCCCAAGAGCCCGCCGACGTTGCAGCTCCCCGGGCGGTTCCTCGTGGCGGACTCCCAGCAGCGCCACCCGGCGAACAACGCGGACGTCCGAGTGCACCTCGCGAGGGCGTATTCCCAGCAGCGGCAGCACCTGCGGCCGCCGAGCCCGCCGCGTAAGGGGTAGTTCGCCGGGCGTCGGCGACGGGGGGGTGTTGTGGCAGCTAGTGAAGCGTGATGCTCAGGTGTGATGCCCAGGCGTGTTGGTGTGATGCCCACGCTTCACTAGTGGCAGCCGGCGACGATGCGCGCGCGCGTTTCCCGGCGCCGCGCCCGTTCAACGACTTGATCGACGGGTAAACGTTCGCGGCACCTGAAACATCGCCGGCTCGGGCCCGCTCCCGGCATCGGCCGAGATCGCACGACGTGGGAATTTGGCACGGAGGACTCAGACAACAAACCAAAGCAAGCGCCCGTCGCAAAAACCACAAACATGTCTGCCATTTCTGCCATGGATTCCCTCCCGCCCTGCGAGAACAAGCAGGGCTTCGATCGCATCATCCTCGCGCGCGCGCCGCGTCACCCACCATCGCCGCTTCGGCGCTGCTGCCCCGACGCGCGAACCCCCGCAGGTCACGGGCGGGGCGGGCTTCATCGCGTCGCACGTCGTCATCCTGCTCGCGAAGAAGCGCGGCCCCGGCGTCGTCGCTCCCCGGCCCGTCGACGCGCGCCCGCTCGACGCCGAACCCGCGCAGGTACCCGCAGTACAAGATCGTCAACTTCGACCGGCTCGACTACTGCGCGTGCATCGAGAACCTCAACGAGGTCGCGAAGCTGCCCAACTACAAGTTCGTCAAGGGCGACATCTGCTCCGCGGACCTCGTGAACTTTGTGCTCGAGACCGAGGAGGTCGACACGATCATGCACTTCGCGGCGCAGACGCACGTGGACAACTCCTTCGGCAACTCGTTCCAGTTCACGCGGAACAACATCATGGGCACGCACGTCCTCCTCGAGGCCGCCAAGGTCCACTCCATCAAGCGCTTCGTCCACGTGAGCACGGACGAGGTCTACGGCGAGGGCGAGAACATGGAGACGGAGCCCATGATCGAGGACCACGTCCTCGAGCCCACGAACCCCTACGCGGCGACGAAGGCGGCGGCCGAGTTCCTCGTCAAGTCCTACCACCGCTCCTTCCAGCTGCCCATCATCATCACGCGCGGCAACAACGTCTACGGGCCGCACCAGTTCCCCGAGAAGCTCATCCCCAAGTTCGTCAACCAGCTCGCGCGCGGCCGGCCCGTGACGCTCCACGGCACGGGCGCCAACACGCGCAACTTCCTCTACGTCGAGGACGTCGCGCGCGCCTTCGACTGCATCCTCCACAAGGCCGCCGTCGGCAAGATCTACAACATCGGCGGCTGCAACGAGCGGTCGAACCTCAGCGTCGCCAAGGAGCTCATCCGTATCATGGGGCTCTCCGACAACGAGTCGTCGCTCATCACCTTCGTGCCGGACCGCGCCTTCAACGACCTCCGCTACACGATCGACAACTCCGAGCTCGCGAAGCTCGGCTGGAAGGAGCTCATGTCCTGGGAGGAGGGCCTCGCGACGACGGTCGAGTGGTACCGCAAATACTCGAACCGCTACAAGGACATCGAGCGCGCCTTGGTCGCGCACCCGCGAATCGAGTCCGCCGTCTCCGCCATTTAGGAACCGTCGCGCGTCCTCCCGCTACAGTTCCCCTCATTTCTATCGTGCCACGAGCCGCGCCCGGCCTCCGGCGGCCGTATCGTCCTCTTAGACGACGCGTCGCCAGTACGACCGCATCGCGCCCAGGCACGACGCCAAGAACCCGGGCGGCGCCGCGGCGCCGTCGCGTCTTCGCTTCCGCGGCGGCGCGGCCGGCTCGGCCTCGGCGTCGTCGCGGCCGCGCTTCCGCGGCGGCGCGGCCGGCTCGGCCTTGGAGGCCTTGGTCGCCTTCTTGGCCCGGGGCGTCTTCGGGGGCGCCTTGGCGGCCGGCTTGCAGGTTTTGGCGGCCGCCGGCTTCTTCATCGCCGGCTTCTTCTGGGCGGCCGCCGGCTTCTTCTTCTGGGCGGCCGCCGGCTTCTTCGCGGCGGTCGCGGGAGGCGCGTCGTCGTCCGGCGCGAGGATCGCGTCGACCTCGTCGAGGTCGAGGTGCTCCGCGTCGCCGTCGTCGTAGACGACGCGGAAGAAATCTTCGCCGTCGTAGGAGTCGACGCGGCCGACGAACGGCGCGAGCTCGCCCGTGTTTTCGTCTATAAATTCCTTGACGACGCGTTTACCGACGCGCGCGAATCGCGGCTCTCGTTTTTCGCGGAGGCCGCGGTCGTACGCCGCGCGCGCGTCCGGGTCGAGGAGCGTCGCTTTTGCGTCGTTGAGAAGTGCCATCGCCTCCTCCTTTTGCTGCGACCCGCCGCCCTTGTCGCCGTGAAGGGCGAGCGCTTGGTCTCGATACTCGGCTTTGATCGTGTCCATTGGGGCGTCCTCGTCGACGCCGATGCGCTCGTAGTTCGTTTTCGCGCGGAGGATCGACCTGATAGTCCTGCGGAGGAGCGCAGAACTTCCCCGCGACATCGGCGGCGCTTGGGTAGTCGGCACGTGGGCCGTCGGCGCGCGCTCAGAGCTCATGCTCTCGACTCCTCGGAGGAGCCTGCTCTGCCACTCGTTTCGCTCGCCAAGCCGCAGAGAGATTCGTCCCAAGCACTGCAAGTTTGGGCTCACGCGTCGTGGCGTTTCACAGGTCCCGCCGACAAACACGAGAAACAAAAAAGCCCTTACCAGCAGTAGGCCCGGTCGACCTTGGCCGGGAGCGTGCCGTCGTCCGCGGCCGGGCACGACTCCGTCAGGAAGGCCGCGTGCGTCGTGAGGCACTCCGAGCACGAAAAGTCCGCGACGGGGTTGTCGCCGCGGTCGTCTCCGCAGGACGCGTTGAGCGCCGACCGGCAGGCGTCGTCGAGCGCGCGCGGCGACTCGATGCCGGCGAGCTTCTGCGGCGCGTAGGTGCAGGTCCGCGTCGGTGTCGACTCGTAGCCGCTCGCGAGGCACTGCGTGTTGAAGGGCCCCGTCGGGGCCGACGACGACGTGCCGTAGAAGGTCTCCCAGCGGCCCTCGGCGACGGCGCTCAAGGCGTCGAAGTCGTCGAGGAACGCGTCCATGACCGCCCGCAGGAACGCGAGGTAGAGCTTGCCGTCTCTCACGGCCCAGACGGACTGGTTCGCCGGCGGGCCGACGTAGTCCTTGGCCCAGGGCCAGCCCGCCGTCGCGTTCGCCGTCGCCATGGGCGCGTCGCCGCCCTTCGCGAACTCCGACGACATGCCGTAGGAGCAGAAGCCGCCGAAGCGCGGCGCGTACTTGGACGGGCTCGCCTCGAAGGCCTCGAGGTTCGCCTTGGACGCGAACCAGAAGACGCTCTGGAAGCTGTTGCCGTCGGAGGCGTCGACGGACGTGAGCGACGACGCGTACGCGGACGAGCCGTAGACCGGCGCCGCGCCGGCCGCGAGCGAGAAGTAGGCGACGACGTCGACGCCGCCGAGGACGACGTCGTCGATGCCGTCGACGTGGCCGTGCTCGCCGGCCTTGGCGTGCGAGTCCGTGTAGCGGTGCTCGACGAAGGTCTTCGCGGCGGTCGAGGACACCGCGGCGAAGGACGCCGTCGCGCCGCGGCGGTCCCCGCGGGCGCTCGCGAAGGCGGCCGCGCCGAGCACGGCGGCCGCGGCGACGGCACTGAGAGCTGCGAACCGCGTCCGGCGCGGGGCGAGAGCGCTTGGGGCTGCCATCGTACCCAAAATCGGGCTTCAATTGCCGTGCAGCATGCAGTCCGACTCGGATCGCGATATCGAGCCAGCTTGCCCTCAGCCATCAGCTATGGCTAGAGCGAGCTCGTGCACCGCTATGGCACGACCGCAGCGCGCCACCGCAATGCTCTGCCTGCTCCTCGTCCAAACCGCCGCGGCGGGCCTGCCGCCGGCGACGCCCGGGGGCGCGGTGGGTCCGCGCGCCGTCGGCCGCGGCGCCAAGGCGCCGGCGAGCATGTCCAACGTCGCGCCGCTGCTGAGCTTCGGGCGGCGGTCCATGGAGGCGGCGGAGGTCGAGCGGGAGGCGCGGCGGCTCGCGGCGGCGCGGAGCGCCATGGCCGCGGAGGACCTCGCCGGCGGCCTGAGCCCGTCGCTCGGCAGCCTCGTCGCGCGGGCCTGGTGGCTGTCCGTCGTCTTCGCGCCCGTCTACGGCACCTGCGGCCTCGCCTGGCTCGTGCCGGCGTTCCGCCGGCGCGTCTGGTACCGCCTCCTGACGACGTGCCTCGGCGCGAGCGGCGCGTGCTTCGTCAAGTGGGCGCAGTGGTCCGCGACGCGGAGCGACCTCTTCCCCGACGCGTTGTGCGCGGAGCTCGGCGGCCTCCAGGCCGACGCGCCGCGCCACGGCTGGAGCCACACGCGGTGCCTCGTGGAGGCCGCCGTCGGCTGCCGCGTCGAGGACTACTTCGAGGCCTTCGAGCGGCGGCCGCTCGCGTCGGGGTCCATCGCGCAGGTCCACCGCGCGTCGCGCCGCGGCGTCGACGTCGCCGTCAAGGTGCGCCACCCGCGCGTCGCCTTCCAGATGCGCGTCGACTCGCGGCTGATGGTGCTCGGCGCGAAATGCGTCGAGGCGCTGCCGGGGCTCCGGGGTTTACGTTTATCGGACACGGTGCACCAGTTCTCCGCGTCGCTCGCGCAGCAGTCGCGGCTGGACCGCGAGGCGGACGCGCTGCGCGCATTCGAGCGCAACTTCCGGGGCTGGCACGACGTCAACTTCCCGCGGCCCCTGCTGGCGACGCCGGGCGTCATCGTCGAGTCGTTCGCGCGGGGGACGCTGGTCAACGGCTTGGCGCGCGACGCCAAGGTCCGCGGCGACCTCACGCCGCGGGAGCGGCGCAACGGCGCGCACCTCGTGAACCGCGGCGAGGACATCTATTTGAAGATGCTGCTGGAGGACAAGCTCATGCACGCGGACCTCCACCCGGGCAATTTGTTGCTCGACGACCGCGGCGGCGCGTTGCGCATCAACGTCGTCGACGCGGGCATGGTCGCGGTGCTGTCCGACGACGAGTGCGAGGCCTTCGTGGGCCTCATCGAAGCGCTCGGCGCGGCGGACGCGGCGGCGGCCGCGCGGTGCGTGCGCCGCTTCGACCCGGCGAACGACGCGTCGATGTCGGACGACGCGAAGCGCGCGTTCGACGCGGACGTCGCGGCGCTCTTCGCGACGTCGTGCCGCGGCTACGGCACGGGCGTCGACTTCGGCGAGGTCGTGCGCGGCGTGCTGACGCTCATCCGCGCGCACCGCGTCCGCATCTCCGCCGTCTACGCGACGCTCATCATCAACGCGCTGTGCCTCGACGGCATGGCGGGGGACCTCCTGCCGGGCTACTCGGTCCTCGACGGCGCGCGGCCCCTCCTGTCGACGCACCGCTGGCTCGTGTCGGACCGGGGCGCGCCCCGGAGGACAAAGTGGTGGCGGCCGCGGCTCGGGCCCGCGCTCTTCCGCCGCGTGTGCCTGCCCGTCGCCTGGAGGCTGAAGAAGATCCACGACGCGCGCGTGAAGCGGGGCATCATGTAACCGTGGGGGGGAAGGGCGTTTTCCCTGCTGGCTCATCGCTGTCGCGGTGCCGGCTAGAGGTGCGACGCGTGCCGCGCGCCGCGATAAAACTCGCGATCGGCGATTCTCAGAGTTTTGCCTGAATAAATTTTTTGCGCACTGACGGATTGGCCTCCTTCTCCGAGCGTGGCTGGTTGATCGTCGAGGTCCGACCCGATTTGTCACTGCGCCCGCTCGGCTCGATTGTGAACAAACATGGGCCGCCATCGATCGAAGCATCTCGCCCTCGTCCTCGTCGCCCTCGGCGTCGTCGCGACCGCACAGAACACGCCGGACCTCCCCGCGTGGAACTTCGGGGACGAGGCGTGCCCGAGCAAGTACCCCTCGGAGGCCGAAACGTCCGAGAAGCCCGGCTCCGCCACCACGAACATGGCCTGCGCGGGCATCCACGACCCGACGCACCTCGTCGCCACGTCGAACGGGCACCTCGCGGTCTTCGCGTCGGGCCAGGGGGTCTGCGGGGAGTCGATCGTCGTCAAGTACATGGCGCCCGGCTCGAACAAGTGGGTGCAGAAGGCGCCGCTCTTCGACGGCTGCGCGCGCTCGGACGCGCCCGCGTGGATGCGCGGCCTCCAGGGCGACGGCCTCGGCGACTTCGACGCGCCCGCCGTCGTCTACGAGGCCGGCGCGACGCCCGCGGAGGACGTGTGGACGCTCTACTCGTCGGTCTACGTCTCCAAGTTCACGCCCGCGGGCGCCGACGAGCCGCCCGCGCAGGCCTGCATCGCGCGGTCTGTGGCTATAGGCGCCATCGAGGACCCGGACCTCGTCTGGGCCCACGACGACAAGCCCGTCTACTGCTCGAACATGGAGTACGATAGCGAGGGCGTCCCGTCGGGCTACCGCTACCGGACCGAGGCGCAGTACGTCAACGCCGTCGACGACGGCTTCGGCATCGACCCCGCGATCTACAAGAGCGCGGACGGGTCGAAGACCTACATGACCTGGGGCTCGGGTGTCGTTCACTCCGTACGGCTCGACGCGACGGGCCACGTGGTTCCGGCCGCGACGCTCGACGACGGCTCCGGGCCGGGCAAGCAGGCCAAGAACGACCCGGCGTACCCCGTGCTCTCGCGCGGCAGCGACGGCTTCAACGAGGCGCCCTACGTCTACTACCACGACGGCTGGTACTACTTGTGGGTCAACTGGTTCGCCTGCTGCGCCGGGAGCTGCTCGAGTTACGAGATCCGCGTCGGGCGGTCGCGGTCGCCGACGTCGGGCTTCGTCGACAAGGACGGCCACGCCATGGACGACGAGGAGTCGGCGACGTGCGCGTACAACATCGACGGCGAGGCGAGCGACTGCGCCGGCGGCAGCGTCTTCCTCCTCGGGTCCAAGACCACCAAGGTCATCGGCCCGGGCCACCCGGGCGTCCTCAAATACGGCGAAACGCACGTTTTCACGGCGCACTACTACGACTTCGCCGACGGCGGCGCGGGCAAGCTCGCGGCGTGGTACATGACCTTCGACAATAACGGCTGGCCCGTCCTCGGCGACTACTGGGACGTCTGCGACTTCACGGGCTGCGACGCGTCCACGGTCTCGACGGCCTGCGCCTGCCCGACCTGCGTTGACGACGCGCCCACGCCTTCGCCGCCGACGCCGAGGCCCGCGGCCGAGCCCACGCCCTCGCCGCCGACGCCACGGCCCGTGGCCAAGCCGACGCCGACGCCGCCGACGCCGGACGACGACGGCACGTGCGTCGACTCGCAGACGTTCACGTGGAAGCAGAACAAAGGATGCGACTTCGTGTACGAGAGCCCGCGGCAGTGCTCGGAAGACAACGCCGACGGCGTCTCGGGCGAGGACGACTGCCCCCTCGCCTGCGGCGCGACGACGTGCTACGGCGGCGGCGATCCCGCGTGCCTCACGTGCGACGTCGTCGTGGGCTCCGCGGATTCGAACGCCTGCCCCGGGGGCTCGGAGAAGCTCCGCGCGGCGGCCGCGTGCCGCGCGGCGCTGAAAGACGTCGGCATCTGGGGTTGGTCCTGGGAGGGGGAGGAGAACGACCGGGACTGGCCCTCGGGCTGCTACTCCATGGAAAATGACGAGGCAGTCTTCTTCAACGCCCACGCGAGCGGGCGCGCGAACGAGGAGGCAACTCCGATCTGCGGCAAGGCCGGCTGGCAGGCGGCGCTGCCCTCCACACGCATCCTCTTTATCGGCGATTCCGATGCCGACTTCTGGGTCACCGAGCACTTTGCGAACTCGGTCAACGTCGCCGTCGGCGGCTACACGTGCAAGGACGCGCAGAACTACCTGGCGGACATGCTCGACGCGTTCAAGCCCGAGTGGGTTTCGATAGTATGCGGCGAGAACGACCTGGCCTCGGGCACGTCCGCCGCGAAGGTAGCGGAGCGCATGGCGGGCATCGCCGACGACGTCGTCGCCGCGGGCGCGAAGATGCTGGTCTGGGGCTGCAAGCCCGAGCCGGACACCAAGTCGCTGCACAAGAAGTACCGCGACTACGACGCGAGCCTGCGATCGATGGCCGAGTCGCGCGGCGGCGACGTCGTCTTCGTCGACGTGTATCCTGCTTTCGAGGCTATCGGCAACCCATACTCGCTGTACCAGAGCGACGAGCTCCACCTTTCGGCGGAGGGCTACCGGCTGTGGGACGCGTGGGCGAAGGCGGCGTTCGCGGACACGACGGACTGCGTGATCTGGCAGGGGGGCGCGTGCACGTCCGGCGGGGGCGGCGCGCCGACGCCGACGACGACGACGAAAGCCAGCGGCGGCGAGACCTCAGAGTCGAGCGACGGCTCAAATATTTCGAGGGCGCCGCGCGCCGCCGCGATCGTCGCCGCGATGATCGTTGTTCTGTTATAGGCTCCGGCTGCGCGGGACACAACAAGAAGACGTGCAAGAAGCAGACGTGTTCCTGCGCATGGAAGAAAGGGACGTGCGCGGCGACGAACAAAAAAACCTGTAAGAAGAACAAAAAAAATTGCGTGTGGAAGCAACCTACCTGCCAGGTCAAGGAAGAGTTTTGCGGTGCTTTTAGCACAAAGTCCGCATGCAAGAAGCAACGGAAGACCTGCAAGTGGAAGAAGGAGAAGTGCCTCGCCAAGTGAGCACCAAGAAGCGCGAAGTAAGATACTCGAAGCCAGGTGGTTTAGCACGGGCTCGGCGCGGGTCGCTTGGGGGCCGCGGCGGGGGAGGACAGGAGGCGGCGACGGGCGTCGTCGTGGGGCGCGGCGGCGGCTCGGGGTTCGCGGCGAGGGGGCGCGGCGCGGGGGCTTCTTTCGGCGGGCCCTACTCGGTCTGGAGCGGGTTGGCGCCGCACCACGACGCGGCGGCGTCGAAGAAGTAGGGGAGGAGCTGGTCGTCGGGCAGGGCGACGCCGCCGTTGAGGCGCGTGTGGAGCTCGACCCACTCGCGCTTGTTCGCGGCGACGTACTCCGCGGGCGCGTAGGAGCCCCAGAGGTGGGCCGTGCGCTTCGCGACCTGGGCGTCGGCGAAGCCGCGGACCTCCGGGTGCGCGCCGATGAGGCGCCGCGCGGCGTTGATGTACTGGGTCCACTTGCGGTCGTGGATGGACACGCGGGGCACCTCGGCGCCCCAGAGGTCGTCCGCGAGCTTGGGGTCGTGGGCGTTCGCGACGCCAAAGGCGAAGACGTTGGCGTAGAACTTGGCGTACTCGAGCACGGACGACCCGAAGAAGTAGTTGAAGGCGTCGGCGTCGATCTCCGCGTCCGCGAGGTACATGAGGTTCGGCGCGAGGTAGTTGGTCTCCATGACCTCGGAGACGCCCGTGAGCTTCTCGCAGAGCGTCGTGTTCCGCGTGAAGCCGACGCAGGCGATGACGGCGTCGCACTTGAGCACCGTGCCGTCGTCGAGCGTCGCCGCGCCCGGCGAGAGGGACGCGACCGTGCGCGGCACGGCCGTGCTCAGCTTGCCGAGGTGGTGCGCGACCCACCAGACGTCGCTCACGGAGATGGTGTGGCCGTCGTGCTTGATCTTCTGGGGCCAGACGTCCGGGGGCGCCGCGCCCGACTGGCCGTACAACTTCTGCCACTGGCGCATCTGCTTGACGTTCGTCGACGTGTCGTGCGCGAACTCGGCGTCGAAGGGCTTCACGAAGTTGAGGTAGTCGATGATCTTCGGGCAGACCGTGCCCGCGCGGCGCGCGACGACCGTGACCTTGGCCGCGCCGTGCTCGAGGGCCGTGCGGCAGTTCTCGACCGCGAAGGCGCCGAAGCCGACGACGACGACGTGCTTGCCGCGGAAGTCGAAGCCCGCCAAGTCGTCCGCGAGGCCGCGCTTGACGACGCCGCCCGCGGCCTCGAAGTCCTTCTGGCCGTCGTAGGCGACGGCGCGCGGCAGGCCGACGCGGTCGTTGCAGCAGACGACGACGCCGCGCGCCTGGACCATGCACGCGGCCCCGTCGGCCGTCGCCAACACGACGTGGCCGCCCTTGCCGTCCAACACCTTGGCGACGGCGACGAGGCGTCGCGCGCGCTCGGCCGCGGTCTCGCGCGCGCCGCGCGCCGCGGCGGCCCGAACCCGACGTTGGAGGCCCGCGCGGCGCTCCAGCTCGGCCTCATGGAGCTCACGGCCGCGCGCGCGGGCGCCGGCGGCGCCGCGGCGCCGCGGCGCGCCGCGCGGAATCTCGCGCGCGCGGCCGCGCCGCGCGGCGCGGCGCCGCCGGCGACGGCGGCCATCGCGCTCGCGCGCCTCGGCGAGGCGCGCCTGCTCGCGGGCGAGCCGCACCGCGCCGTCGTCGCG